GTGTGTGTGTGTGTGTGTGTGTGTGTGTGTGTGTGTGTGTGTGTGTGTACACATTGGTTAAATAACAACCACAGCATAGAATTTTAAAAATGCCTCATTTGTCCCTCCTGTATGGCTTGAATCAATTCTATTCAATTCCCTACAGAGAGGGGATGATTATGCCATTTGCAAATGTGGATTATGAGTCAGCAATGCCAAAAACTTTCCAAAGCCATTCGGTGACAGAGCAAGGATTTGAACCCTTGTCTTTCCTCTCCAGCAATTGGGTTTAATCTGAAATAAATCATAAAACAAACAAACACACACACACACAATCCAAAGGTTCTACATGTACAGGTCTGAAAAGTTCATCACACCCTCTTTTAAAACATTCCATGTTACTGTCCCAAGCCAAACATCTTCTTTTCTGTTTTGCTGGGCTCAGGTTGCTTAGCGACCACACACTCCAAAGCAATTCACAAGATTGACATCCCTTCTTTTGACTGGCCCATTGCTCCATTCCCCCGGCTGAAATATCCCCTGGAGGAGTTCGTGAAGGACAACCAGCAAGAGGAGGCCCGCTGCCTGGAGGAGGTAACCTGGGTCCCCACTGCCTCCCTTCATCTCCTTTTCTCTCCGGGTACTGAGTCTGAGCCCAGAAGAGGACAAATGCAGGACATGGATGGTGTTCTCCACGGAGGAAGTAAGGATGTACAGACCTCATGCTTCAAGAGTTCTGTAAGGGAAGAAACAAGAGGCACTGTTTTACTACCTAGCATTTATCCCCCACTTCTGGTACCAATTTCTCCACCATTTCATTGGGAACAAATTTAACTGACTCCAAAATAAGAGATAGTAGATTTATCTAAATAATATGGGTGTCTGGTGGGGGGAAAAAAGGTTCCATGGTCTAGTCCTGTGGTTGGCATTCTTTCTCTGATTTCTAGAGCTTTTAAGTTTCCTTGGAGGTCACACAAGGAAAGAATGAAGACTTGCAGTTTTTGCCTTCACACCTCCTTTTCTCCAGAAACAGCCCCTTTTAATCTGCCCCACAGAGGAAATGGAAAAGCATAGGAAGCGTTTTACTGCTGGAAATAACTGTATTTTCTATATTGGATTATTATTAGATCAATGCACTAATAACTCTGTTGGCTTTCCTCTTAAGCATGGCAGGGTTTTAGTCAATATTTATTAAACACCTACCAAGGTGCTAAGCAGGCTGCTGAGTAGTAGGTATTTAGCAGTAAATGAAAGAGGCAAGACCATGGGTCAAGGCTTGTAACATATGTCACATAGATAACCGTAGATTTCTTAGTTACCGTCGCTTTAAAAGTAAAAAGAGGAGAAGGGGTGGAATGAGGTTAGGAGAACACTTTCCAGACATTCACAAAGCCCTGGGCCCCACATAAAATCAGGTCCCAGCACTTAGCCAGTGGCCAGGAGGATCAGAAACTCAAGTTCAGTCTCAGCTTAGTGGTGAATTCAAGGCCATCCTGGAATGTATATAAGACCATGTCTTAATAAATAACTAGAAATCGATGAAGCTTATTTCAACATTACCTTTGTTTCTTGAGATAGTGTCAGACTGTAGGTGAGCCAGTCCTGGAGCTTACTACTTTGCACTTTCAGAACCCTCCAGTGCTGGGGTTCCAGGAGTGAGATGATAGCATTTTATTGAACCTGACATATCTAAAATACGGTCTCAACATGTAATTCATATTTTTGAAGTAGCAGTGAGACTGTTTTTCATATTAAGCCCCTGGAACACTGTGTTAGTTCAGCATAATGACTACTTCAGGTGTGGATTTGGCTTTTTAAAACACATATTAAACAGCTAATAAACTACCCAGTATTATTTGTTCATAGTCTATAAGATAATGCCCGTTTCAGAAGTAAAGTTCAAGAATGACCACCACTTGGGTACCTTTCCTGTGTACCATCATTGTTTGTTGATTCAATTGTTTAGTTCAGGTTCGTTTTATGACTCAGAGCAGTGTCACCCCAACCAGAGATATCTTATCACCCAGCCATAGCCAGGCTGAGTTTTCTGCCCATAACACACAGCCACAGTGGGGCCGTTTTCACCGCAGATAGATTTTGAAACAGCTTCTCAAATGAGCCCTCTATCGCAGTGTCCCCAAGAGCACACCAAGCAGTAACGACAGAGCGAGGGTAACAGTCATGGCGTGCTTAGAGTAGTGGCCACGCCTGCCTTTTCAGCAGGTTATTCTAATATCCACTTACAGAACTTGGCATAATGGCACAAGCTTGAAATCCCAGAATTTGGAGAATCTAGAGTACATGTCCACACTTGGTTTTACAGACAGGCAGTGGTGGTGCACACCTTTCATCCCAGCACTGAGGAGGCAGAAGCAGGCAGATCTCTCTGAGTTCAAAGCCAGCCTGGTCTATAAAGGGAGTTCCAGGACAGCCAGGGCTGTTACACTCGTTGGGAGGGGAGGTTTACTATATAGCCCTGGCTGGTCTAGAACTTACACTGCAGACCAGGCAGTCCTTGAACTCACAGAGTTTCACCTGCCCCTGCCTCCTGAGTGCTGGGATTGGGACTAAAGACAAGCACCACCAGACCAAGCACTCCATAGCGAATTTGAGGCCAGCCTGGGCTAGAGGTGTATCCACTTGCAGATCAAGGAAGGGAGCCTTCAGAAGGCTGAATTACTTGTCCCACAGGTGCTAGCCCCAATAACAGAGGAGCACATTCCTGTACATCGTGTGGCTCCTAACAGGTCCCACACGTCTCAGAGGAAATGCCACAGACACACTTCCAATATGATTCCAAGGGTCCACAGAGCCTCCCCACCCCATGCCCATCTACGGAATCTCCTCCTGTTCCGGAGCCTCTGTGAGCATCTATTTCCCTCCTGGGTTCTAGGTAGAGGATCTGATTGTGAAATATCGGAAAAAGAAGAGAACAGTGGCTGGAATCATCGTGGAACCCATCCAGTCCGAGGGTGGAGACAACCATGCATCAGATGACTTCTTTCGGAAGCTGAGAGACATCGCCAGGAAGGTTAGCGTGTGGGGATGAGGCTGCACAGGACCACAAGGGTTTCTGGGTTGCGTTCCCAGAGCAAAAAAAATGGCTCCATTACTGCCTTGGGGTCCATGAAAATTTACTGTGTGCAGAAACTGATTAGCCTTATTGAGGGCAGAAAAGTTGGGATTGGGACGAGGCGTGTGGCTCAATGGTAGAGCTTTACCTAGCATGTACAGGGCCTTGGATTCCATTTGAGGTTGGGGCAGGCTTGAATTGAGAGGCATGTGTGATTCTTATTTAAAATAATTTTGCTGAATCAGCCTCTGGGGCTGGAGTTATAGTTCAGTGGCAAAGCACCATGCACAAGGTTCTAACTTCAGTCCTCAGCACTGAAGAAAAATAAACATTGTTCGGTCAGAGCCTGAGGCAGGAAGGTTTACTACAGGCTCAAGGCTATGCTGGGTTATGTGGAGAGTTTAAGACCAGACTGGGTTATAGAGTGAGAACCTAACTAAACCAACAAACAAAACAAAATCAGCCTCCAAACTACTGGGGTTTTGTTTGTTTGATTGATTGGTTTTTGAATAATTTATTTATTTTATTTCATGCCTTTGAGTGTTTTGTCTGCATGTCTGTCTGTGAAGCACATGCATGCAGACCCCAGTAGGCAGCATCAGAGCCCCTGGCACTAGACTTGCAGATAGATGTGAGCTGCCATGTGGGTTCTGAGAATCAAACTAGGGTCCCATGGAAGAGCAGTCAGTGCTCTTAACCACTGAGCCATCTTTACAGCCTCAAAGCACTGTTTTAATGAGGTGTCTTAGTTAGGGTTTCTATTGCTGTGATGAAACACCATGACCAAAAAGCAAGTTGGGGAGGAAAGGGATTATTTGGCTTACACTTCCATATTTCTTTTCATCATCAAAGGAAGCCAGGACGGGATCTTGCACAGAGCAGAAACCGGGAGGCCAGAGCGATGTAGAGGCCATGGTGGGTGCTGCTTACTGGCTTGCTTCCCACGGCTTGCTCAGCCTATTTTCTTATGGAACTCAGGACAACCTGCCCAGGGACAGCACTATCCACAGTGGGCATGGCCCTTTCCCATAACTTACTAATTAAGAAGATGTGCTGCAGTCATATCTTATAGAGGCATTTTTCTCAATTAAGGTTCCCTCCTTGCAGATAACTCTAGTTTGTATGACAAGTTGACATAAGACCAGCCAGTACATTGGGACTTGTTCAATTAGGAGATCCCTGGAATGGCCTCAGCCTCCCTTCTCTTTCCAGAACTTGCCTTGTCCTTTAGTCTGCTGTGGTCTGTAGTGAGAAGGTGTCAAATGAGCAGTGTCAACATCCACTCGTTGTAACTGATAAGAAAAAAATAAAATTAAAAAAAAAAAAGATTTAAAAAAAAATCCACTCATTAGTCTAGAGGAATGGGCATTATTTTGCATGTATTAGCTTTTTATCAGTGTAATCAAATACTTAAAGAGTAAGCACCCAAGGAAAGATTCACTTTTCTCCATTTCAGAGGGTTCAGTCCATAATCATTTGCCCCACATGCTTGGGCATATCACCAAATGTGATATGTGGAGCATAAATGTGACAGTGGAGATCGATTCACATCATAGCTGACAGGAAACAGACATTGAAACAGGAGGTGGCCAAGAGATACCCTCTGAGACCCATCTCCCACTGAGCTCCTTGCTCCATCTAGATCCTCCCTTCTAAACTTTCCACTAGGTGCTTCCTGGTAGCCCCATGGCAGGAGACCTAATGCTCAGCACAGGAACCCATGGGGGCTCCCATGGGGGGAGCGGAGGAGTTTATATTCACATGGCAACAGGTGTATGCCCAAGGGTCACATCAAACCAGTCAGTTCACAGATAAGGAACACGGGACATGAGCCAGGTTACACACATAGGGAACTAGTGGATCTAGGTAATGCAGAGAACACGGCAGCTGGTACAGCTTCAGGCTTGCACACAGCGCCTCCTGAGGCAGTCATGCCAGGACTGCAGCCACACGCAGCACGCTCTCAGGTGGTGGGAGCAGTGTGGGATGTTCTGATTTTCTTCCATCTGGGCAGTTCTAGGGCATGTTCAGATGCAGCTATGATCCAAACTGTTCTGTTTTCTCTGCATAGCTGAGGAACAGGGCTTGACTTCACAGTTTAGAACACAAGTGTGAGGCACACGGCTGAGCTCCAGCTTGGGGGGAAGGGTTCCCTGGATCCAGGCTTACAAGTGTTTGTTTTTCCCTCCCCTGTTTTTCTTGGAACAGCATGGCTGTGCCTTCTTAGTGGATGAAGTTCAGACTGGAGGAGGCTGTACAGGCAAGTTCTGGGCCCACGAGCACTGGGGCTTGGATGACCCAGCCGATGTAATGTCATTCAGCAAGAAGATGATGACTGGGGGCTTCTTCCACAAGGAGGAGTTCCGGCCAAGCGCTGTGAGTGTTCCAAGCTTTGTTCATAGCACATGACTGGTTCCCTGAACCAAGGGGCCTTGTGGGTGGCACAGAAGTTTTCCTTTGGTGTCACATGTAATAATAATGGCAATAGCTACCACTGTAGAGTGGGCACCTTATCTGTACCTTATCTGTATCTATCTATTTCTGGTGGTCCTTTAATTCACACTACAATCTAACCTTGTATTATCTTTGTAATGCTTTACTAATGGAAGGCCAGATGCAGAGGCTAAATAAGCCTCTGCCATAGTTACTTTCCTCATTGCCATAACCCAGTACCTGACAAGAACATCTTAAGGAAGAGTTTGTTGGGCTTACAGTCTGAAGGGATGTAATCCAACATGACAGGAGACATGAGATGACATGAGACAGGGAGCAGGAGATGACAAGCCACATTGCACCTGTAGCCAGGAAACAGAAATGGGGATGGAGTTGGGTCCCCTGTCCATTTCCTCCAGCAGCCAGGGACTAAATTTTCAAACATGAGTCTATGGGGGACGTTTTTATACTTAAACCACAATACTCTCCAAGGTCACTGAGCCTGTTAGTGACAGATCAGGAGTCTCACAGACCCCATTTTTTCAGCTATTTTATTGGGTTCTTATATCTACCATCCTTCTCCACCCCCAGCCCCTTCCAACACCCCAACACTAGGTAGGTGAGAAATAATGTTAGAGTGGAAATAGTACGTAGACCTCTTTAGACTTCTTTCTGGTGATTAAGGTCATTGGGTTCCTAGGGACAAGCCCAGTCTTCTTTGTCAGAATATCCAGAAATCCGGAAAACCAGTCATCCAGAAATAGCAAATGCCACAGCAGGAACCAGCAGCAGTGGGGACAGCAGCAGGGGAGCAGCAGCCACCACAGGCTGGCTTGGGGCTCTTCCATTTATACCCTCTCAAAACTTCCCAGAATTAAACTGTCTGCAGCTGGCATGAATCACACCCCTGCTAGAGTGTGAGAAGCATTATAGTCAGCTGCTGTGGACAACCTGAAGCAGCCTCAAATCCCACACCTGGAATTAACATAGAAACATAGTAACATAACATAACTGGGTTTTTTTAAGAAACCAAAATTTTCACCATGTTTCCCCCTTCTTCCTCCTAATGCTAGATAGGAGAGAAAGGATAGAGGGAAAAAAGAGAAAGAGAGAAAAAGATCCCTGATTCTAACTTTCTTTACTTTGTTTCCTCTCTGACTTACGACTAATAACAACTTGCAACCAAACAACAAACATCCATAACCCACCGAGCAACCAAAACCCACCAACCTCTTGGGAATGGAGGTGTCATGTTCTTAAAATTGCTTCCTTCTGTCTCAGGGCAAAGGCATCTTTTGGGGACCCTAAGAAAATTGGGATATTAGTTAAGTCCTGGGAGAGCTAGCTGTATCTTTTTTTGTCCAGCCCCTGTGGGTTAAAAATGTGCAGGGCTTAATGGAAGTCCTGGCTGAAAGAATCTGTGAGGCTGAACCATCTGAACTCACCGTTTTAAATTGACTGAAGCAGTCTGTGAGGCTGGATCATCTGGAACACTTGCTTTGTCTTCATTGGTGTCTTGTCTGTTTGCTTTGAAAACACACAAACTTTTAAAGGTAATATTATAGGTACATTTCCACATTAACATATGTATAGGAATGTGCAGCATGCACAAATTAGCAAAAGATTATTTTCTGCTTTATGTTTGAGCAGGTAAAAGGCATCTATCAACTTTATAAGTCTATTTGGATTGCATGACCAAACTGTAATATAAATCTCCATTCATACTATATTAAAGAATGGCGGGCTGGAGAGATGGCTCAGAGGTTGGAAGCTCTGGCTGCTCTTCCAGAGATCCTGAGTTCAATTCCCAGCAACCACACTGGTGTATGTATGGTGGTTCACAACCATACATAATGAGACCTGGTCCCTTTTTCTGGTGTGCATGTCTATATGCAGACAGAATATTGTATGCATAATAAATAAATAAATAAATAAATAAACAAACAAACAAATAAATCTTTAAAAGAATGGCATGTAATAAGTCATGAGAAGCAGGTAGCCAAAAAGATTCAAGATTCATAAGCTGTACAGAGACATTCATGTCTCAGCTAGCAGTAGGTCTTCCCTGACCAAATCTAATCTCTGTAAGTCTTGATGGTAAGCAAATTTTTTCATTCCTTGTAGAAACATAAGCAAAACTATGTCCCCAATGCAAAACTATTGCAGGCTTCCATTCCGATGTTAAATCAACCTATATACTATAAGGATGTGCTAATTCCACAGGTTTTTTTTTTTTTAATATATAACCCAGTGTCTCTTATCTGCTATTTTTCCTTTTTTATTAACTTCCCTGGGTACCCCTAGAGTTACTTCCAGGAGGTAATGGAGTTTGGGTATATAGAGAACAAGTAGGATATTTTCTTGTAGTTTCCTTGGCTTGTTGCCAAGTGATATAATTTTTTTTCTTTAGATTTTATGTTAATATGATATTTTTGTAAAAATTTGAGGCTTCTAACATATTTCATGTTGGTCAATTAATAATTTCCTCATTTCCTTATGCCAATGGACCTGGCAAACCTGTATGAGACCGAACATGAGTAGTATATAATGGATTCAGGACTTATAGCCTGCCGTTCCTAACTTATTTGCATCGGTATAGAATGTAAGTGCTTCAGGAATTGGTGTTCCATTTATATACATGAGAGAATCCAATTAGTTATTTTTATAAACTGCAGGTGTTTGCTTTTAGGATATTTGTTATTAATTTCTTCCAAATAGTTACTATAAGCTCTTGCCAATCTTCATTAACTACTCATAATGACATAATCCCAGCATTAGTAAAAGGCATTACAATTTTTCTAGGTCTGTTCATGACAATTGACATAGTTTTATTCTACTTTTATGATTTGTTCAGAAACCTTTTCTATATACATCTTCATTTTTTTTACTTTGTTTATGTGCTAAGAAAATCCATTCTATAATACTATCTTCCCTTTTCATAATGACCACAAAAGGAGAATGAGTTGAAGGCAAAATAAGCAAAATACAATCAAGTTTAGGATCAATTTGATCAACATATGCATCTTGCAGTCTTCATTCTACCAAAGTTAACTCTCTTTCTGCTTCAGCTAGTAACCATCTTGGACTGTTTAAGACCAAATCTCCCTGTAATATTTGGAATAAACTACTTAACTCATGAGTAGTTAATTCAATTAACATCTTCCATTAATTTTTGAAAATCATTACAAATTTGCAACTGATCTCTATGGATCTATACCTTTTATGATCATATTTTTGTTGACTTATTTTATAACTCAAATAGTTAACAGAATCTCCTCTCTATTTTTTTTAGGAGCAGTCAGTAACCACTAGCATGGCAAAATTCTTTGTGTTTCTTTAAACATTTTCTCTAATGTATGTGTATCAGAATCAGCCAACAAAATATCATCCATGTAATGATAAATAATAGATTGAGGAATTTGCCTATGGATTATTTCTAGTGATTGTTGCACAAAATATTGACACAAAGTTGGACTACTTAACATTCTCTGTGGAAGCAATTTCCAATGATATCTCTTTATTGGGTTACTATTATTATAAGTAGGTACTGAGAAAGCAAAACTTTCCCTATTATGCTCATGAAAAGGGATTGTGAAAGAGCAAACTTTTAAATCAGTTACTATCATAGGACATGACTTACGTAATAAAAAAAAAAGGTAAAGAAGGCTCAGGCTGTAAAGGACCCATTGGTTGAATTACTTTATTCATGACTCTTAAATCTGTTAACCTCCTCCATTTTTCTGACTTCTTTTTTTTTTATAACAAACACAGGGAAACTCCATGGGCTGGTAGACTCTTCTATATGCTGAGCCTCCAGCTGCTCCCGTACTGGCTGTTAGTGCCTGCAATTTCCCCTTAGTTAAGGGCCACTACTCTACCCACATAGGTTTGTCAGTCAGCTGTTTTGGAGGTAGGACTGTTGGTATTTCAGCGGTGCCCCCCCCCCCTTTAAATTTGGAAACAATCCATGTGATGTCCTGTGTTTGAACACTGGACAGAGCTTGTGATTGTTTTTGATGACACATATCCAACATTTCCCCTATAATTTCATCATAAGCTATCTCTGGGATTGCAGAAATATTAATTTGAGTATCCCATTGTTGTAAAAGATCCCTTCCCCATAAATTTATGGGTATGTCAGCCACATAAGGTCTCAACTTCCCTGTTTTCCCTTCCTGTCCCACACATTTAACCCATCGTACACTTTGTTTTATTTGAGATAACTTACCAATTCCTATAAACTGTACATAAACCTTCTTAAGTAGCCATTCTGGGTGCCAGGATTTTGGGGATCAGCTCCTATATCCACTAAACCTTCTGTTTCAACAGGGAAACAGTAACAGCTGAGTAATTCTATCCCCTGCATTAATTCGCATCTCTGTTTTGCATATGCCATAATTTTAATTTCTTCCTCGAAATCCCCACCTATAATACCTAGATGCACTGTGAATCCTTGGGAAGTTAATCCACTTCTTCCCAGGATCATCCCTACTGTCCCTGAAGACAAAGGACCATAAACACCAGTGGTTATTTTGTAACATTGAATTTTGGGGGACAGAATAAGAGGTTTATCTGTGGCCAAATCTAAAGCCACACTGCCTTCAGTGGTGTCCATGATAGCAGCAATACTTAATAGCAGTTTCTCTGCCTCCTTATTACCTCCTGGCTGACCAGAGGGAAACAGCTAGGTTGGTTGTTTGTTTGCTTGCTTGCTTGCTTGTTTGTTTTTTTCCTGTGGTGCCTTGAGCTGGAAGGCCCCCCAGTTTGTTTCCTGATGGTGAAGGCAAGAGATTACCTTGTATGTCCCTCCTGAATCTGCACTCATTAGTCCAGTGCCATTCTTACCACATCATCGGCAAACCCTGGGTAGCCTAGGCCTAGGCTACCACTTGTTCACATCTCCAGTAGAAAGTTTCTTAGAGTTAACACACCTGTCATTTTGA